GTCTTTCTTAAAAATGCCGCTTCCATTTATATATCATTATTTTCCTATCATTGAACTTGAACCTCATGTATGTGTTATGATACCTGATATCATAACAATCGCGAACTCGAAACTCGGATATTATTTATAAGCAAAACTGTTTCGGATGGTGATTCAAACTAGATAAACATATGACAACCCATTTCTTATTTCTTGTTTCCCTACTAATTATTATTATTATTATTAATTTTTTGTTTTTCCCACGAACTGAATTTTGGTTTTTTAAATATGAAAAACATTCACCATTTAAATTTTTTCTCAATTTGGATTCGCTGAAATACTTCTGTTTCATAAGCGAATGTCATTTAATCGGAATGACTGCCTTCCAAAGAATACCTTGATTTGTATTCCAAGATTTTGATTTCCCAATATGTTAGCTATTCTGCATATTTTGGTATATCAAATACCTACACTTATAGTGTGAGTAAAATTGAATAATAACAAAGTGTGTATTAATTGGTGGCCTCATTTCGATTTTGTTAACAATAACAAATTCGTTCGAATACAAATATCTATTAGAAATATCAACTAACCCAAGACTGTAAATTTATAATATATGAATCGCGAGTTTCTGCCATTAGCTTGATGAAACAGTGAAGTAGGCGTTTTATTTTTCCGGAGGGGAAATAATACTTGCCTAGAATTTCTTATCTCTCGTTCCATGATATTGTCAAATTGTCATCTCGTCATCTCGGTCGTCTTGTTGTTAGCACCAGTAAGCTTCCTGGTTTTGCTTATCGTTCTTCATAACAATAGGTTCTGCTGAGTTTCGGTTCATGATGGCTTCTTTTTAGAACTTCTTCTTTCTTCATGCATTTCTTGTCCTTAAACATACTCAACAAAAAAACGATTAATACATGTTCGATTATTAAATGGACAACGATTTCCTCTGGAAATAAGACAATTACTTTTGGAAACATGCTCATCTTGCGTTAACTACTATCGATATCGGCTCCCTATTTTCTACCAATGTGATTCTGATTCTCTGATACCCATTTTCTTCACAATATGTACTTCCTTTGGTACCAAAATAATATTCACTTTGCGTGCTATCTTCATATGTGCATCTGTGTCAGATCTGCTTCAGAGTCCATCCTCCCTGCTCTAATTATTGAAACGTTTGTCTAATATCCTAACTTTTCGATATAGCTCAAATATCCCTACAATGTAGAACATTTTCCGGGAGTTCGCGCTCGAGTTCGCGTGATGAAACCCTTGAGCTCACTTGACGTTTGGTTGGCCAACCTTTGCACATCATAGCACACCTAATAATGTACCAATTTCTCAACATTTCACGAATTCGATAATCTGAAAATCTTAATAGATACGCTCAATAAATCTCAAAACCTTACTAATTCTTATATTTTCAATTCTTCTTATCGCTTTACTTTCGACTAATTCGGACCATTTCCTGAAACAACTACTCCCCTGGCTACTTACCTCGACGGGTATTGAATGATACAGGGTGATGATCCGATATCCACAGTGACTACTGCACTGATCAAGTCGACAGCGATAGTTACCTTGACTCCTTGGTCAAAAACAAAAATCTCTACTTTAGCTATGCTCTACCCCGTTTGGGTTTTCTGATAGCCCGTATACAGTGCTCTCCACTGCATATCAATAGTTTCCTCACATTAAAAGCTTTTCGTATCTACATTAGCCGATATCTTAAAATCCTTTAATATATTATCAGAGCATGTTTCCTAATGAAAAAGATACTAAAATCACTCAGAACTGTTCAAGTTACCTACACAATACGAAAGTACGATAAAAATTAAATTTCTTCGTTATCTGATTCTTGATTTTCCTCCTCCTCAATTATTTCAGACATATCAATTTCGGTTACTTCTGGGGTCCACGGGTCATCTTACGGTAAAATTCTACTTATTTGGTTAATTAAATTACACTATCAATACACCTTTATTCACCTCGAATTATGCTTATATGAATTTAAAATATCAATATATCTACTTTTCTCTGTACTCCATATTTGTCAAATAATGCCCAAAAATCTTCAAGTCAATAATCTTTCAAGATAGACATATTGGATGCAATAGGCATCCATCAACATCAGTTTCACCAATATCCAGTCTTCAACTAATAATTATCATAAAAATTGCCATTAAATCTTAATTACTATTCAAGCAAACATTTACAAACCCTAAAAGTAAATGGTTATATCTAACATTAGGTGAGAAAAAATGTGTGCTTCCTCATAAAACATTATAATTCTTGTTCATTCTCCAAGGATCGTACTAATACTTTGCGAAACTTTTGAAACATAAAGCTTGGCCTGCGTTAAAAATTCCGAAAAAAAAATAGATTACCTATACCCTACTGTTAATGAATTCCGTCATAAGTGATTACATTCTGCATTGGGTAATGAAAAAATCGTGGAAAAACTATTTAGGGACATCCTTCATCTTAAGTATCATCAGCAACAAATATTCAAGGATCCCCTCAAAGTTCCAGTTGCCTATTCCGCGACACTGGATGCTACACTTGTGAATTGTGTACCTCATATTTCTTCATATGGTCACTTTCACATATCTCGATCAACATAACAAAAACTCAATAATCAATAAAAATTCTCAATTACCTTCTATAATCATCATAAATTCTCAGCACTCATCAATAATCTCTTTTTCCACGCACAAGATCAAAATTACTCCTCTAAACAACATGTGAATCATCTTATGACATTTGAATTCTCGAAATATAGCACATCTTTATCAAAATAATAGTTTCTCTAAGTTTTTCAATAGGTCATAAATAACTAAAAACAAAATTATATTTTTTACTTAGTTTTTGTATGGGTACAGATGGTTTTAGCATGCCTATCTGTGTGCACTACCAGGAACGCCCCATTTGAAGATCAAACCGAGGCAGTTTTAGCATGCTGGACCGTTCGCAAATCCTGACCAGATGCCCCATATAAAAACACATTTTTACATTCAATCAAAATAATGAAAACTGTCTTACTAAAATATTCATCTAACTTTGATATCCATAATTTGATAAAAATAATATAATTTGAAAAAGAAAAAGAACATGAAATTTGAAGAAGTGAGGTTGGTTATGAAGAACCAACCTCGGGAACGAGCCATTGGCGCCTCCACCATGCCACAAACTGTAGGCGGGGGTTGCCTAAGTTGTGTTCTAGGTCCATTAGAGAATGAACTTTGAAAGTGATAATAATAAATAATACTCAAAAAGGTTTTCAAACGAAAACATAAACCACACATTTATTCTTGGCCTAAAATGAATAACAATTAATAAAACCTTAACTTACCCTATATGTACAAAATTAACTGGTATTTCTGGGAGCCTGAGGAAGGGCATCTTCTGTTCTGCCCGAACTCCGAAGGTTCGGGCACAGTGGCAACTTTTCAAACTTACAATGAACTTCCCTGATTCGCACTCAAAAAAACAAGACTAGAACCGTCGCAGTCGAACCGGTAGTCGAACCGTCGAACCCGCTTCCTTACGTCTTTTAAATAGTTGTCTTTATTTTCGGAAACGTGACAGTAAGGAAATCAGGTCGATAGTCCAGGTTCGTTGAAGTCAATGTCACGCCTGTGTTTATGTTCAACTATGGAAAAAAGAGTTCGTTCACGATTCGAAAATTTTGGAATTAATAAACAAAGACGCGACCGTTCAATGACTTCGAACCTTGTATGAATTTGAATGAATGAATGAAAAATAACCCTATTTGTGACAATATTCAAACATGGAAAATTCGATTCGCACCACAGTTTATTCCCTGTTCTTGGGTGATACCCAAACTCATCGGCAAACAGTGTAAAGGAACCGGAAATATCAAAAGAGACAAATCATTGACGTATAGGAGGAAAATATAGGTGCCTAGTAATGAGCCTTTAGGTACCTTTCAAGTGACGTCCATTATTGTACTTAAGCAATCAGATGCTTTCGTCAGGTCACAAAATACCGCCGCTTCATTCTCACCTGAATTCAGATTGGTATATACCCTTTCCATACAGTTGAACATAACATCTGATGCACTCATATTGCTTCTAAAACCACTATTAGATCACTTTTCCCAAGGTGGGTATCAGAGACATGGGCCTGAACATATCTGTTCCACTAGTCTTCAGGAGATCAGGAGATGTACCTTCCTTGTAACTGTGATTTATGAGTACCTATAGAATGCACGAGTAAAGCTGAATCTGGAAAATTTTTGTAATTTTGATTGACAATTCTTTGTCTCCTGCGGCATTTTGTTTTTTAATTGAAGCAAATACTTCTTTCAATTCGATTGGAGTGGTCTCATAAAATAAACAAGGAGTAACTATATTGACATCGTCAAAAAAATGAATGGGATCTTGATTAGAGTTCAGGCATTGCATTTGTGAGTGGGCAATATTGCAGTGAAATGAATTCAGATGATTAGGATTTATGGGCGTCTGTGAATTTTTATGATTAGATTTTCCCCTCAGTTCATTCACAATACTCAAGGATTCCTTTGCTGTGTTTCAAGAGTTTTCAATTCCAGAGAGGTAATAAGTGTATATCATTGGCATTTCTCATTACTTTGATTTCTTCTTTATTGAAGTAATTAATGAAAAACTTGTTTTGGCATCATTTTCTTATGATATGCAGTACACGCATATTTTTTTAAGAAATTCTTATACCTTTGGTTATCCAATACTTTCTAGCCCTTATTTTTATCTTTTATTCTGGAAAAGCGGCTTGAACTAATCTATTCACATTGTTGGTAACAATTTAAAAGACTTATTATAAAGTTTACACCATAAGTTGGATTTTGTGTATTTATTGCTGCTGAAGAGTACAGTATTCTTACTTTTTCACATTTTAATTTCCAGTTCGCTTCAATTTCGCTTCAATTTCATCTCAGCAATAATAACTTCATAACCTGATAGATTAGCATGTTGAACTTCACAATTTTCCATATCGATACTTGAAGTATTTGTTTTCAGCTTTCTGCTTTTGTCATCCATACTATTCCAACCCATTGGCCAAAAGCATTTGAAGAGTTGGTATCGAGCTTCCAACCTCAGTATTTGCCTAATGTTGAGCCTGAGAGAGTGATATGGATTCTTCTAGAAATTTTAACTGTGATACCTGAAGAAGTAAGTTTTGTTTGTATTTGATCATATATTTTCACAACTGATGTGTAATATTGATTGCAACATCAATGCATAACATATGCATATTTTTTTTCCACCACTAGCTATAAAACCTACCATTATTAACTCTTTTTCCAGGCATAAAATGTGTTTTTACTATAAGTTTTCGTAATTTTATGAAACACTAGTCAATAAAGACATATCCACCTCTGTTATAATTAACCCGAATTCACTGTTCCTATGCGACATTCGCAGAAACGACACCTGATTCTAGTAGGTATTTATCAATGACTACTAGATTACAATTAGCATTGAAAAGATGTACTTTCATAGTGACAATAGATTCATATTTCAGTTTCACAGAACTAAAATCATTGAAATGTATTGCTAGTGGTGAAAAAAAAACTATATACACCTTGGTAGTGAAGATTATTATCACCACCGGACCTTATACCCCTAGGGTGAAGCCTGGGAATATAATATTGGTCCCTGGGTAATAATGATATTCTTTACTACCTTGGTGTATAATATAATATCATCACTACAGGACCTTATACCACTCAGCTGATGCCTTGGACATAATCTTGTTCCCTGGATAATCATAACATTCTTTACTGGCTTGATGTTTACATAACTATTATTTCAAAAACATTATGTGAAGCCAAATTTTGTAGATCTGTTGTGATATCTCAAGAAGAACGGAACGAAATTATCTATTTTTCACTAGCGTCCATCCAATTTAACATATTTGATAAATAGCCTCGAATTCAATATTTCAAATAGTCACCTCGATCATGGAGTATTTTCATTTTACTCATAATTTTTTCGTTGATAGAATAGCATGTGTATTAATTATTTATTAATTTCGAGTGCCCATCGTAGATCTGTTTTGATATGCATTGTTCATTATCGATTCATTAGCTGCGCTGAGTAGGCATTGCAAAATTTCGAAATTCTGATAATTTATATTTAGTATTGTGATATTATTGGTTACGTTGAGGTTATTGTTGGTGTTCGCATCATCTTTTTGCAATACAAACTGAAACTATGAAACGAATTCAAAATAATAAAAATACGTATGCAACTTATCACTTATTGCCTACTTATTAAGAATCTTCATTAGAAAAGTTAGTTGTTCGCCTGTGGGCAGGTTGCTATAATGCCTTAGAATTGAAGGTAATGATGCCTTTTGTTCCTATTGGAGAAAACTGAAACTGAAACGAATTCAAAATAATAAAAATACGTATGCAACTTATCACTTCTTGCCTACTTATTAAGAATCTTCATTAGAAAAGTTAGTTGTTCGCCTGTGGGCAGGTTGCTATAATGCCTTAGAATTGAAGGTAATAATGCCTTTTGTTCGTATTGGAGAAAACTGAAACTGAAACGAATTCAAAATAATAAAAATACGTATGCAACTTATCACTTATTGCCTACTTATTAAGAATCATCATTACAAAAGTTAGTTGTTCGCCTGTGGGCAGGTTGCTATAATGCCTTAGAATTGAAGGTAATAATGCCTTTCGTTCGTATTGGAGAAAACTGAAACTGAAACGAATACAAAATAATAAAAATACGTATGCAACTTATCACTTATTGCCTACTTATTAGGAATCTTCATTAGAAAAGTTAGTTGTTCGCCTGTGGGCAGGTTGCTATAATGCCTTAGAATTGAAGGCAATAATGCCATTTGATCGTATTGGAGAAAGTTCATGACATAAAAAAATGGTATTAAAATTAATTCACCAATTATATCGCTGAATAAATTCATATTAATCAGCCAACCCTGCTGTATAAAGCCCTAATTGTTATACAGGGTGTTCCGTTGGGAAAAGGAAATACTTTTACGGTGGATAGAGGTGACCAAGGTGATTCTGAATATACCATATAATATGTTGGGTCTTACATATTTCATTATCGAGATATAGGGTGTTTTATCAATTCTAGTCATTTCTTTAAAGGCTCATGGCATACGAACCACCTGGTATATCTTTCTGATATTTGGTAGACGTTTTTCCCACTGCTACCCCCGCGACTTGTATATCCTTCAGAAAAAAATCCTAGGCCCGGATTAACAAGAATTTAACATATTATTGAGTCCTCGAAAAAAGACCCTCTATGTTGGAATTTACTACTGAATTTCTGAAGCTGCAATGAAGGATATTTTCAGTTCTTCATACCGAATTATAAAAATTTTGCAATTTTATAACTCATTTTATTCCATTTGATAGTCGTTTTCTGCATTTTTATGCCAGTGTATATTCATAGGTCCTACTTTATTCATGTACCTATTTATTTGTTTGAGACATATTTCCATGCACCCTGTATGTGGATTCACATATTTCAAGATTTCTATTATTTTGATATAATAATTCCATTAACAAATTCGTGAAAATGTCAACAAATTCGAAATCCAACAATCAGTTGAAAAATTTCTAATTCCTAAATCAAACTGATCCAAACAAAATTCGCTGCCGAAAATTTTTATTCGGGGTATAAATTAATTACGCCATATTGTATTTTTCCTAATACCTATAACAAGTTAATAAGATCCATCAGTTTTCAATAAGTGAGTGAAATTACATCAAAACAATAGAAATATTGAAATATGTGAATCCACATACAGGGTGCATGGAAATATGTCTCAAGAAATAAATAGGTACATGAATAAAGTAAGAACCTGTGAATATACACTGGCCCTTTCCACAGGCATAAAAATTCAGACAACGACTATTAAATGGAATAAAATGAGCTATAAAATTGCAAAATTTTTATAATTCGATGTGATAAAAATGAAAATATTCCGTTTTTAGCTATTGAAATTCACAAATCCTTCATTGCAGCTTCAGAAATTCAGTGGTAAAATAGCATGCGGAAACATGAAAAGTACACAAATCCATTCAACATTTTGTTCTCTCTTCAGATATGTAAGCAGATTTTGTAAATTCAAACATACAGAGTGTTATTACGGGGACACAATAATATGTTGAATTTTTGTTAATCCGGGCCTGGAATTTTTTCTGACGGATATACAAGTCGCTAGGGTAGCAGTATATTCAGTACAACTTTGGTCACCTCTATCCACCGTCAAAGTATTTCCGTTTCCCAACGGAACACCCTGTATATTTTCGAAATCACCTTCTTATGGGAAAAAATCAATAATCAATAATTAATTTATTCAATCACTGAAATTCGGAATACTTTCGGAGATATACGGAAAAAACCAAAATTCCCCAAAACCCCTTCTATTTTTTGTGTTAAGTTCGTCGAAGAAATTAAACACTTGAAATGAATATTACTTCATCATGGCCACTTTTTCTTTCCTACAAGTTGGTATTTTCAAATTCGAAATTCAACGTTTCGTCTTCCATAAACCATCATCAACTTTTTTGTGTTTAGTGTAATATTACCTATTAAGAAAACGAATTCAACTGCGATAAATTATTGAGGTCTATTTAATCGTTATATAAAATGTTAGAAATTTTGTGTTTGTTGATTCCCAAATTGAGTTTTATTCCTTTATTTCCTACATGTAGAATATAAGAATGTTGAAATTATCATTAAAACTATGTTTTGCTTTTAATATATGGTTTGTGTATGTTGAATTTGTTTTATTCTTCAAAGAGGCGGCTGACTCCTCCATGATGAGCTACACCTCCAGCTACGTTTCCTTGCGGTATATGCCAATCTGTGGAGTAGATTATTGGGGGTTATAATGGCATGCGAAAGGAGATCTGACCATAGAGGAAGTTGCAGCAAAGAAATAAAAGTTGCACGTGCACAAAGTGAATCAAATCAAATTAAAATCAAAGCGAGTGTAATTGTAAAAAGAGACAAGTGTAAATCTAATTGAATAAAAAAACATATGACACTAAAAGTCAAGTGATGCGAATCAAGTGTACCAAAAACAAAACCAATTGTTACTAAAACCAAGTGTAACAAAAAAAAGAGAATGACGACTACTAGTCCCTACCAGGGTAACGTGCGACGCGCCCCTTGATTAGTGCAACACCTAACCTCATCCTTGGATTGACAATTTCAATTTACTTCTCTCTTGAAAAATAACTGCTAGTCATACCATCTTATTGATAAAGCACTCAAAGCAGTGAAACTATACTGGCCTGCCTCGATCGTTCTCTAGATTATTTACTCATTTACATAAGACTCAGAGCCTAGTATAGAGCTTTGTTGCCAATTCTTTCACCACTTCGAACTACCATGTACTTCTAACAAAAACTGCACTGAATTCAAGAAAGAGAATTTACTGGTTCATGAAAGATAATTAACTTCCAAAATATTACCCATTCATTTAAACTTGAATATACGATGAAAGAGCGTTTTTTTTATCTTTTGGGACTCATGAAAGGGACTCCCTATAATGTTCGGAAATCATTATTTTTATACAATTTTTCTTTCTCATTATAAGTTTTCGTAATTTTTTTCGTGATATCAATTTTTGCGTTCTCAATCTAGTCCAGAAATGTTTACCTTCGACAATGTATCTACTCATAGTTTTTTTCGTTTCAGTTTCAAAGCACTACTTTAGCTTTGAGCCAGAGAAACAGAGTGCGACTGGTTCTTCAACAAGTCTCCAAGGATATTTTGAAGGTAGTGGAGATGTGTTTGTTGCCCTTACCGGAAGCAGGGTAGTACTTGTTTATTAGTCCTACAGAATAATTTGATAACAGGTCTGAACATTTCAGGTTTGATATGTCTAATTTGACGACCTATCTGAACGCTTCAAGATGTGCATCTGCTTGGATCCAGCTAGGCGGTTTGAATATTGATGAATGTACGACTGTTATCAATTTATTGATTGAGTTGACTTGTTTTGTTTATTGGTGAGTTGATTGATATATTTCAGTTAGTGCAGGGAGTATATGATTGTTTTTCCGTTAATTGAATATTGCCATTGAACATATTTTCATCAATTTCAATTGATTCTAATGATGAAGAGATAACTATTCATCGATGAATTTTTTAGAGATAAATCAATTTTTAAATCTTTTTTTATTACACCCCCGATATTTCAAAATCGAAATATCGGAGGTAGATGTTGAAAGAAAGGGTTTTTTTCCAGAAAACGACATGGAAATCACTTTTGTACTTAATGGTAATTTGTTTCATTTCATATTGATATCAACTTTCTTAATGAACAGTAGAATCTATTCATTTGAAAGTTTTTATTTTCGAAAAAACTGCGAATTAAAAAAAATATTGTTTTGTTTGTTGGAAAATACCCTTTCTTTCAACCAGTATCTACGATGTTTTGATTTGAAATATTGGAGGTGCAATGAAGAGAACGAATTGAAGAATAATTATGGTGGATAGGTACAGTCGCATTAAAAAAAAAGCGTACAAGTATATTACAGAGAGAAATTATCCTCATCCTATTTTGCATAAAACGGGATATCGGGAATGATTGTTCGCCAAATGTTGACAGTGAAGTTGTCATAGGTTCTCGAAAACACAAAGCATTGGCTGAGCCAGTTTTACACAACTAGAACTAGGATACCGAAATCCTCTCATTTTGATACTTGTACGCTTTTAAATTGAATACGACTGTATCCTATTGAGGAGAAAGCACTATTTGTATACTTCACATGCAGTTTTGACATAGGAGTTACGCAGCAGAATTTAAAAATTGATTCATGTAGAAAACTGTGAATGCTATCAAAACTAAACAAGATTCATATTTCCTGGACAAACTTCCTATTTCCCACGCCCCTGATCAACATTTCGGAATATTCTGAACATTTCAAACTAGGCATGAAGAGTTAGATCAAAAACACACTCACGTCAGTATTCGTCTAAATTCGAATCGATGCATAGATTTTGGGAGGATGTATTTGAAGTTTCTGCGTGTCATTGCAAAGAAAGTAGTTTCTTTCTCCCGTCATCATCTACCGTTATTCATTTTTTGAACAGTTGTGAAAATTACTTTGAGCTTATTCTTTTCATTTTCAAAAAGTTTCGAAAATATTTAAAAAAAATCTTAATTTGGGATCGCCCCAGATAGCTATAATCGCCTAAGAGATCATTTCTGGACCCATGTTGATATACTTTACTTCAACTATTTCCGTTTCTAGAATTAGCATTGAAATATTTTTATGTAATTTCGGGACACTATATTGAATGTGGCCTAATGAGAATCTTACATAGGATTCAAGTCATAATGTTTGTCGGTTACTCAACCCGAGACTCAACCGAGAAGATACATACAATAATGATAAAGATAAAAAGCCCTAATTTCGAGTAACAATGGAAAATGAAAAAACTCCACCGCCCCGTGTGAGAGTCGAACTCACAACCTCTGGGTTACATGCCCAACGCTCTGCCAATGGAGCCAACGGGTCGTCCGTCGATCAATCGGCAGGGAGGTCGAGTTCTCATCACACACCAGGCGGCAGAATCCTTTCAATCCCCAGTCACTCGAAATCATGCACTATACGAAGCATCGCTGACAGGATGGTACTATAAAGTCTCCATATTTTCCCGTTCGTCCTCTGGCATTGTCTTTTCTTGTATACGGAAATGTCGGAAGGCAATCATACATAGGATAATGTTTGTCGGTTACTCAACCGAAAAGATACATACAATAATGATAAAGATGGAAAGCTCTAATTTCGAGTAACAATGGAAAATGAATAAACTCCATCGTCCAAAATATTTTGTCCAATCTCCGGTGCATCACCTCATTTTTTGGTGGCTGTACGCCAACACATGCATGCTACTATGGAAACAGGTGGATAGAACGCGGAAGTCCAATTCTCCACCGAGGTCTCCTGACTTCAATACCATTGACTATTCCATTTGGGGTCGATTGAAAGAAATGGTCTAGGTCGAAAATATCAACACACGGCAAGAACCCATTGACAGAATTATCAATTGTGGCAACATTATTAGAAATGATCCCATAACCATCAGGAAGTGAATCAGGCATTTGGCAGTCTGACAAGAAAAGTGTATGGATGCAGCAGGATTCCATTTAGGGAATGTTTTATGATTATAAATTCTCAGTTTTTTTTTATTAGATTTGTTCCATTCAGTTATTTTGGTATCTTAATTGCCGTACAGACTCATCCTCTCTTAATATAGCATTTGTAAAATTGTGAATGAGCCTCCATTTTCTGTTCGATTATCTAGAATTATTTAGATCAATGGCCATCTACATTCATATAGATATGATAGTGATTCGAAAAAAATCCAAAGGGCGATTATTACCCTCCACAAAAAAATAAAATGACGAAATCCAGGTCTTGAAATGAAAGAACATTGTTGATTCTCATTGAGCTAAGACATTGTAAATAGTATTGCTTTTATTTGTGAAATTTTTGAATTGCCAAGTATCTTTTTTCGAATAAATACATGTTTTGTCAAAATTTCGTTTCTGCTCGAAATTTATCGTTCTGAATATTCTATTTTTGAAGCATATTTGCGACCTTTAAAATTCCATGTCACAATTTACAAAAACCAAATACATGGTGAACTTTTTGATATAAACTGAACTAGCAACATTTTTCAAGAACGGTCCTGGAATTTCCCACATCTGAATCAGTCAGTCGATTAGAGTAGCAGTATATTCCATGAAAAAATCAGACGAATCGAAGAAGCCGTTGCAAAGTCACGACTCAGAGATGATTTTGTCAAATCTCATGATCCATCCTATATATCAGTGAAAAAGAAGGGAATACACTTTCTGTTTGCCATTGGATATTCCCCTCAGAGGCGTCTATTTGTGGTAGGAGTATGTACAGTTCCTCATGACTGACCCTGTATATACTTTTTTATAAAAAATCTCACGTTGTACCGACCACCACTTCCACAAGCAATGGCTGCTGTTCGATCACTACAGCAGATCTAGTCTTTAGGGCCACCGAGCCGCGAGAGAACAGCAAGATTATCCTTGACGATTCCAAGGAGGTTTTCGCTTCGGATCTAGATATCTATCATCTTAGTTCGGAGGCCAGGCATATGGGATCGACTACTTCAGCCTCATCTACTAAGTCTAGTCCTAGAAGAAGAGGAAGACTAAAAGAGTTGCCTGGTGAAACGAAGCCGCCAGAAATCGCTGCGTGGCCGGTCCGAATCAGGAAGACCAAAGCGCAGCTATGTTAGAACTACGATGAACAATGTGCATCACGCCGACACTGGCAAAGACAAGGAGGAGATGATGGCGACAAGATAATTTATTTTCCAAAAATGATTTATTACATATAGTAATGGGATAATATTCATTAACATCATATTTCAGGCCAAATTGAATATAGAAAAGGAAAAAAAAAACACCCAACTTCGAATTTATAAGCGATGATATCTCGAAAACTGTAACACATTGTATAATAGTATATATGGTTGAATATATACCGAATCACATTATCTACACCTCTTTCCAGATATACGTCGGTGAACCAAACATCCAGTTATAATTATTGTCAAGGTTTATCACCTAATTATCGACAAATTCGACCTGCTCTAATACTTCTTCAGAACCTGTAATAAATTCTGAAAACGATCCTCCTATACATTCCAAGCGACCGAATTTATTATATTCATGACTGCATGACTACTCTCCAGATATATTATTTTTGTATTCATAGATCATCACCATTTAGAATCTCGCAAAGTAGTTGAGATACAAAGTCGCTATAAGGAAATACCTATCTATGTTTCTAGGAATAAAAGGGACCCAGAAGGATTGTCATGCGATGAAATGGATGCTATTGAAACCACCGTGGAAGCATTGACATCTATTATCCAGCATCCACATACTCACAAATACAAAAACCATGTATTGAAATATACTGCACAAATTTTATATAGTTTTGATAAAATTTTAGACATTGAGAGGAATCAGCAGGACATGAACAAGGTTAGTCAACATCGAAATATCTATAAACCCATCTATAAACCTAATTGTTTGTGCATATTTTATCTACCTTGCCAGCAAAAAACAAACCGGCCACCCTGAATTATCTTATAAATCTCCCCAAAACATATTTTGTTAGTTATCGAATTCAATTTATCTCATGTTACAATCATTACAATTTATTTCATACATATATCATTGTAGCCGGAGGGCTTGTGAACCTTCCATATAAAGGTCTAGGGCTAGAAATTTGTATAGTGATGAATCAAAAGGTGTTGAGCACGAAAACCTTGACCTGGCACATCTCACCCTTGCACGTCATTATATATTTTTAAAAGTCAAGTACAATGACACAAGACGCATCTGATGTGATTGTTTTTGTTTATAATGTACTTCCGGTTCAACCGGAAATACACTCAGAATTTAGTGCAGTTAATCGAAATATTAGCACACATCAACCAGTTACCCAAATCAGAATGGCTGAACTGTAGAAATCTGAATATTCGAATCGTGTACCGCGATTTGACGGTAACCCAAATGAACTTTAATATTCAGCGGGTTTATAATGTACTTCCGGTTCAACCGGAAATACACTCAGAATTTAGTGCAATTAATCGAAATATTAGCACACATCAACCAGTTATCCAAATCAGAATGGCTGAACTGTAGAAATCTGAATATTCGAATCGTGTACCGCGATTTGACGGTAACCCAAATGAACTTTAATATTCAGCGGTCTCGAATTCGATGATGGTCACATCTTATGATAGGGTAAATCCAAATAGTTTTCATAACACATATTTGTGTTGAATTAATTATTTACTAAATTGAGCGGTAGTGCCAAATTATGAATATCCAAAATACTTCCACTTGACAAGATCTTAAAACTATTCTTTATAGGAACTATGCAGATTATAGAGATGAGAAATGTCTCAATCGGAATCTAATTATGAAGATGTTCACGAAAATACAGCAAAAGCCAAACCTTTGAAACGCGAATTTTTTGACAATCTCATATTGGAAACATTGTTTTTTTTTGCCTAAGGGAACCTCTGGGTACGATAATTCGTTGTATGCGGCCTAACTCACTGACTGAAGCCTTGAAATTGGTTATTCAAGACTAAAATATTCAATATTTCCGGAATAGAGGGAATATAGAAACTCACCAAAGAAATCAAACACCAGTTAGGCTTGCACTCAGACACATAATAATCAATTCCAACAGCATACATTTCCTTCAGAAATAGTGTCTATTAAACCAATATTTAATAATCAACCTAGGAAATATTTCTCAAACGCTCAAGTTTTCGGCCAGCCACAGCAAAACAGAAATGAAAAATAGGCATTATATAAGATGAAGATGAATTTGATGTTGATGCAAATCAATGACGATAACATGATTAATTTTTTTTTGATGATTCATTATTCAGAGTTCTACCATTCATCGGTCTCTATATGAATACAAATTCAATAAATTGCCTAATCTGTTGTTTTCAATGACAGTTCTCAGGTTATGAAACTAACTCGAAAGCCCTATGTTCTTTGCACAAAACTTCAAAATCATGTTTTGAAATAACAGCTCTCGAAGTTCTATGTATAGAACACACGCTTTGAGTTAGTTCTATGATTTTAGAGAACTCACTAGAAATTTCAGATTTTGCATTTCATGAAATTAGTATTATTATGACAATGGAGAGAATTCATTTGTTGATATAGGTAGTTGAAAAAATGCATAATATTTTCAGATGATTCGAAATTTCTTAAAAAAAAGTGTTCATGAATGAACAAGGTTGGTAATTTAGGCTGGACTTTTCATTGCTTTTCTAACGTAAATGTAATAATTTTATCAAAGTAATGACAGAATGATCAACTTTGAATGACGGAAACTGGTCATTCACTACACCCACAGTCATGACACTGAGTGAATGTTCGCACAGGAAGCATAAGAAGGTTATTCAATCAGACTACCTGAATACTTAGATCACTAAGAAAAGTTGATAATGATTCATTGGGGAATCGAATATACTGAGCTGAAATGTTGGAAGGAACTGGGTTGATAGCAATCCAGACTAAAGTCCAGCGGCTTTTCCAGATGATGTTGCTTGCTAACATATCAGGCGAACACGAATCATTTCAGCTGATTAGTCTGAGAGCTGTTTCACTGCTTAATTATCGATTATTATTGTTGCTGTTGAGGAAGATAATGGCATATAGATAGATAGATAACATATTACCGTTTTTGCCATAATACAATGATCGGTTCGTCATACAAAAAATATTTGCATCAGAATGTGAATGGTATACATGAGAAAATAACTATAACTAAAGATATGATGAAAATTTGTTGAACAAATGAAATTAGGAGCGAGTCACATTTACATAAATTGGTATAAACAGTTATATAAAATACAGTAGTACAATCCCTACACAAGTTAGCACCAACATATCATAGATTTATAAATTTCATTATTGTTTTAATATTTGAAGATATGATTGAAAGTCTGCTGTGGTATAGAAGCTATTCTGGATAAGAATATGTTTTAGTTTTTTTTTTAACATAGGATACTGAGGTTTTTTTAGTTCTTCTGGAAGTTGATTATAGAGGTGACTGCCTGCATAATTGGGTGATTTTTTATAGGTCATATAATTGAAACTATTTAGGTAGATGTTTGATTGATTTCTTAAAGAATACTTGTGAACTTCAGAGCATTTTTTTAGTCCAGATATGTTTTTATGGACTGGTGGCCGTGAGCGTAGAGTCGCTGGCTGTTGCCCAGGCGGTCCGGGTTCGATCCCCGGCGCGAGCACTGAATTAATTTTCGGTAGTTTCGTTGGGCGGGAGGAGATAGGTGGCCAACCCAACATTCTTGGTACCTAGATATCAATCCTTTGGACTGTCCACGGTTACCAGCCGAGTAGTGCTTCGGATGACACTTAAAAAGCTAAGGTCCCCGTCTTCTTAACTCACACAAGTCTCTGACTTTCGAGGGTTGCTTTGCAACTAAGCTGGCGGTTACAAACACTTTTTTTTTAAACTTTATAGTAGAGAATTTTGAGTACATAGGTGCTGCACACTATTAGAATATGTTCCTTTGTGAAAGTATTTTTGCATGATTCTTGATGTTTCAAATTGAATATTAAACGAATCATCCGTTTCTGAGATGTGAAGACTCAACCAGTCAGTTGCTTGCCCCCATGAGGCAATATCATAGCTTATTGCAGAGTAACCTAGACCATAATACACATTTATTAGTGCTTTTTCATTTAGATATTTTTTTAGTGAGAGAATGGCAAAGTAAGTTTTGTTGAGTTTGTGACAGAGGTTATTGATTTGCTCGCACCAGGTTAGTGCAGGATCTAGTGTGGTGCCTAGGAATCTAATCTAAGAGGTCTGATTGAATAATTAGACTAACTAGACTCTCAACGAAATAACCTAGGGCTGATACATTGAATGTTATCAAACAAATCATTATATTTCAAAAATGAGACGACCTGAATTCAAATAACTAACCTGGTTGTTCAGGATTCTATTGAAAGATGGAATAAATAAGAAATCCATGATTTTCATTCATCGTTCTAATAAACAAGCGTCTAATGGAACATGAAACTCTGAAAATTATTTAACTCATTCTTAAAAATCTCACCTATAAGTTTCTCTTCTTCCTCTTACTCTTGCCTTTGCCTACTATTTCGGAAACTACAGAATCCTCTGATTCTGACTGTGAGCAATAGGTCTCATCGTCATCTGATTCTTAGTAGCCCAATGAACTTTCACTAGGTTGATCATCTGGATAAATTCTCGGGCTATAAGGAATATCATTGAATTTATTTTCGGTGTACAATTGCGTGGAAGAATCAGCATTCTCACTTTGCGCAGATATATTATCAGCACGGGTCACTGAATTCCTTGCCTGAAACGAAATCCAAGACTATGGGCATGATCATAATATCTTTTTCTATGTCTGGCTGCTTATTATACATTTTTATGATTTTTTTCCGAATGCCCCATGAAATTCATGATGTGTTCTTGATCTTCCGGTTGAAGTTGCATTTTTAAAGATTTGGTTGCCAGATTTTTTCTCAAATTTGTTGCATGAAAACTATCAGGACTAAATATATTATAACCATGTTGCTCTGAACTCCAATATTCCCTGGAGAAAATAAATATTTTATCTCATATTATCTCACCTAATGTCTAGGCTCGACATCATCTTGAAAGCCTTCTGGAATTCCTCAGATTTCTTCAACCGATTGAGAGGTTTTGTTTTCATTCTGGTGGAAACACGGATTGAAGTAAGATCCGGCGAAGGTGTGGAATGCTGGGAGAGAGTGTGATAGATCAGATCCCAGCTTTTCATATAGTGTTGATGTATTGATGAATCGACGTTCGGAAGATACTCCCAGTTCCACCCAGATTTTCTATGATTTGCCCTTTATGTTTATATTTGAATCTAGGACTATTAAAACGTCGGTATCCGAACACTTTATTGCAAGATTTTGATATGTTAAATAAATAGTAGGTAGTTTTCATATTTTATAAGTTGCTGTAGAGATGTAAGTATTGCAGTTCTCAAAGTTTAAATCTATAACCTTATCGCTTATAATTTTGGCGGTTTTAGGGCATGCCCAATGCTAGGAATTCAACAAATTTCTCTTCGTATATCTTGTCTCGTCAAATCCGCCGTGAAGGTCGAACTCCACAGAATCAGATGTTCCTTTATAACATTTTCGTACCTTGCAAGGTTTTCTCTATCCTCCATTATTATTTCTGGGTACGTATCGAATACAATGCCTTATAGGCAATATAGCCTTTGAATCTTTGATGCGCATAATTTTTCGGGAAGTTGGAGAGATATCTGTCCAAACTTCGGCTGAACATTTTTTAATAAGTATAAAAAGAAAAATCCATCAGCCATATACTAATCTATTTTTGCGGGCGCGAAAGAATCCTCGATCTCATTCTCCAGTATTTTTGCTAAAACTGACATCATTTTTATGTTATT